GATACCTTAGTCCCTATATTGCTGTTTAATATCTTATTCTATCCAAGTTTAATTGATACCTTAGATCCTCTATTGCTGTTTAATATCTTATTCTATCCAAGTTTAATTGATACCTTAGTCCCTCTATTGCTGTTTAATATCTTATTCTATCCAAGTTTAATTGATACCTTAGTCCCTCTATTGCTGTTTCATATCTTATTCTATCCAAATTTAATTGATACCTTAGTTCCTCTATTGCTGTTTAATATCTTATTCTATCCAAATTTAATTGATACCTTAGTTCCTCTATTGCTGTTTAATATCTTATTCTATCTAACTTTAACCGATACTTTAGTCTATCTCATGCAGTTTAATACCTCAGCCTCTCTAATTTTGTTTAATATCTTATTCTATACAGCTGTAATCGATATCTTAGTATCTCTAATGCTGTTTAATGATTATCTCTCTATTTCTGTTTAATACCTTAGTTTATCTACTGCTGCTTAGTACCTTAGTTTCTTTAATTCTGTTTTATATCATATTCTATCTAGCTGTAATCGATACCTTAGTCCCTCTATTGCTGTTTAATATCTTATTCTATCTAGATGTAATTGATACCTTAGTTTCTTTAATTCTGTTTAATAATAGATATATATATATTCTATCAGCTGTAATCGATACCTTAGTCCCTCTATTGCTGTTTAATATCTTATTCTATCCAGATGTAATTGATACCTTAGTTTGTTTAATTCTGTTTATTAATAGATATATATATTCTATCAGCTGTAATCGATACCTTAGTCCCTCTAATGCTGTTTAATATCTTATTCTATCCAGATGTAATTGATACCTTAGTTTCTTTAATTCTGTTTAATAATAGATATATATATTGTATCAGCTGTAATCGATACCTTAGTCCCTCTATTGCTGTTTAATATCTTATTCTATTCTACTGTAATTGATACTTTAATCTCTTCGTGTTTCATGCCATATTCTCCTTAATGTTGTTTAAAACTTCATTCTACATAGCAAACTTTAACGCCGTAGTATCTAACTATATTTGAACTCAATATCTTTATAAAGATATTGTAACGTAAGACAACGTGGTACGTACATACTTATATTTTAACGTGTTATTGTCGATGCATTATTTCAACTATCAGGTCATGCGCATAGGCAGGAAGGGAGTGTGCGTCGCGTGCACTCGCACCCCTAAACTGCACCAATATATAACCGTGAAACATATTTAAAAGGTGTAAAACGGCCTCAGATGCCATTAAAATGCGCCATTTTGAGTGAAAAGTACAAATATTTTCCGACATGGCATGACTCGGGACCCTACCCTATGACTTCGCCAATATATATATATATATATGTTTATTCGTACCATTCATAGATACATTTAATACAGTTACAGACATCAGTAGTTATACAGATAATTAATATGTACACAGGTGGGAAATAATAATATTTATATCTACTCTGTCGTCACCTCCTGATGTCTCCTTGAAGCGATAAAGTCTCTAATAGCACTGGCTCTTTTGCCAGTCTGAGGCTTTTTACGTCGAAGAAATCTTGGTAAAGATTCCCGGTGAAGATTGTACTTACAACAAATTTGACTGATGGAATTCCCAGCAGGAGATCCACTGCCATTTACAGCCATTTTACAGCATAATCTGACTAGCTCGTTTTCAGACGAACGGCAGGAGCTCATAAAGTTCACAAAACGCTTGTGCATTTGAAATTCTACGGGATGATCATCCACAATTCTAGGTAACAGTGAAAGTCATATGGCACCATGAAAGTACAACGAATGCATTTCCGCCATGCGCAATAAAAACTTTCGATTGTCTTATGATCAAAATCCCAAAGATTCGATCCATATGAACACATACAGTAAGTTTTAAACAGACTATATCGCACATCATATGAACAATGTGAAAATTTAGATAGTAACGAATTAAATCTCTTGTACAAATCATTCACGCTTTTCTGAATGGAATTTACTCTGTAATTAAAGCCGATGTAATGACCAAGGTGTACAGCCGATTCGCTTAATGGAACCATCATGTCACAGAAAAATATAGGCTGTTCTACATTGTCATTACTATCTGAATTTTAAGAAAAGACATTTCGCTGGATTGAACTTAATGTTAATGTCCTTGCCTATTTGTTCGGCAATTTCCAACATATTCAATAACCCAGTTCTCGACGGAGCTCAAAGTATAATGTCATCCTGCAAATGCTCTGCCAATGTAGCAACCCTGACCACAGTTACGTAGCTCAGTAAGTAACATATCGGCATAGATCGAAAAAAGCACAGGCGATAGAATTCCGCCTAGCTTGACACCGTTGGACAAAGATATCGAACCTGAAAGAATCTCTCCCCAGCGAAGCCTGTCCTGTGTGCATAAGTGACAGTACTCTACATGTTAAAGGACATAAACCTTTCTCAAGTAATCGTTTAAACAGTTTAATATACTGGAGATGGTCAAAAGCCTGACTCGCATCCAAAAACATGCAAAACACGGACGTGTCATTATTTAAGTAATACTGAAATACTTCTTTGTACAGCAAAAGTATACTGTGTAGTCTAAGATTTTTGCTTAAAACCAAATTGCAGATTGGTTGTAACCAGTGACTCAAGTATTCATTTCTAATATTACAAGTTCAAAAAGTTTACTTAACGGGCTGTTTAAGGCAATGGCCCTATAATTACCAGAGTCGCTCAGCGATTTTCTCGTACTTTTTGGAATAGGTATGATGGTCGATGCCAACTATGACGCATCATCACCGTAAACAAAATGGCTAGATGTGTACGTAATACCAGTCCTCCATGTTTGATATGGTCGGTAGAAGATAATCCGTCACCGTCTCTCTTACCTGAGTTAAGGCGGGACACGGCATTATGAATTAGGTCAGTCGTAACGAAGTGGCCATGATAACACTGGTCACTGCAGCAGTGATGACGAATTTGCTCATCCAGTTCCCATATCAAGGTGGCCATATCCTCTTCTTCGTATGAGACACAGTTATACAGACGCTCATACTTACTAGCAAATACACTTTTTTTTCTCTTGCAAGTTTCTGTTGAGTTTATTATGAAAGACCTTGGGCAGGCAACATATGATATCAAACAATATACTTTATTATATGCCTTATGACAAGCATGATTAATTAAAATCATGCTTCGCCAGGTTGGAAAAGGCGTTCACATCATAACAATTGTTGTTGTAACAAATGTTTTATATAAATAGTGTTCAGACCACTACCGTGTTTGTTGTATCCCAGCCGGTCTGATGAGCTCTGGATTGAGCGAAACGCGTCGTCGGCAATGTATATGACGTATATAGAGTGGTTTAAAGACTATTATTATACATGCTTCTAGTTTTTGAAAATTCCTGAGGGGCTAGAGAAAGAATGTAGTGTTAAAAATATAATAGGCCCAATACTTTTGTCTTGTGACAAGTATAATTAACATTGTTTCAAGTAGATATTTTCGTGTAATTTAAAGTAAGGCGTAGATTTCATTTATCAAGTAGGGTATCTCTTGTAAGTTAAAGTGTGATATAGGTCCCGCTGATCAAGTAGAGTATATCTTATATTTAAAATAAGACACGGATCCCGCTGATCAAATATAGAGTTGTCCCTATATGTTAAAGTAAGGCAATAATTGATCTCGTTGATCAGTAGAGTATGGTAGGTTAAAATATTACCTCACTTTTCACTGATCAGGCACAGCATGTTCTATAATTTAAAGAAAGATACTGATATAGATGATCTAGTAGAGTATATTATGCAAATTAAAACATAATATATGGCTACTCATTGATCAAACACAGTAAATCCCGCAATTTAAAGTAAGGTGTGAATATCGTTGATGAAAAACATTATATTCTTTAATTCAAACTAAGGTTAGCTGATCAAGAGGAGTTATACTCTGTAATTTAAAGTAAGGTTATATGATCAAGAGGAGTATACCCTGTAATTTAAAGTAAGGTTAACTGATGAAGCGGAGTATACCCTGCAATTTAAAGTAAGGTTAATTGATCAAGAAGAGTATACCCTGTAATTCAAAGTAAGGTTAGCTGATCAAGAGGAGTTATACCCTGTAATTCCAAGTAAGGGTAGCTGATCAAGAGGAGTTATACCCTGTAATTTAAAGTAAGGTTATCTGATCAAGAGAAGTATACCCTGTAATTCAAAGTAAGGTTAGCTGATCAAGAGGAGTTATACCCTGTAATTTAAAGTAAGGTTAACTGATGAAGCGGAGTATACCCTGCAATTTAAAGTAAGGTTAATTGATCAAGAAGAGTATACCCTGTAATTCAAAGTAAGGTTAACTGATGAAGCGGAGTATACCCTGCAATTTAAAGTAAGGTTAATTGATCAAGAAGAGTATACCCTGTAATTCAAAGTAAGGTTAGCTGATCAATAGGAGTTATACCCTGTAATTTAAAGTAAGGTTAACTGATGAAGCGGAGTATACCCTGTAATTTAAAGTAAGGTTAATTGATCAAGAAGAGTATACCCTGTAATTCAAATTAAGGTTAACTGATCAAGAGAAGTTATACCCTGTAATTTAAAGTAAGGTTATCTGATCAAGAGGAGTATACCCTGTAATTTAAAGTAAGGTTAACTGATCAAGAGGAGTATACCCTATAATTCAAAGTAATTCAAAGTTAACTGATCAAGAGGAGTATACCCTATAATTCAAAGTAATTCAAAGTTAATTGATCAAGAGGAGTATAGAATTTATCCTGTAACTGAAAACAAATCATTAAGGAATTCGAACAGTTTCCAAAGAGAGTGGTGTATGTAGAATATTACGTTTTAATATAAATGAGCTTGGTGTTATAAGTGACTAGTAGCACAATGCTTTTTGTCAATCTATAGACGTACACATTATACTTTATTTAAACAAGATGCAGATATTCTAATGATGAATTTTCACTTTATTGTTATATTATTATATGACATCGCACCTTTCTGTAGATAAATACAAAAAGAACTAAACTTACCCAATGACGCGTAGGAAGGAAGAAACTCCGTGCCTGGGTAGACTCTGCTACTTGACGTTTCCGGATAAATCTCGTTGCTTTCGTAGAAGAAGGACGGATGGCTTGGGAAGTTACAGGCGGGTATTGAAGGTACTTCTAGCGGTAAGGTAATGGGGTGTCCGAACGTCGTCGAACTCGGTGAAAGTCCAGCTCTTACGGGGCTATGAGCAGAGACAAACTCTGTTAACCGAAGGATGTCTTTTACTCTGAATCGTCGTTTTACGTGCGAAACTTTCATTGTTCAAAGTGAACAACGACACATTAGCTAAATAAAACATGTGATAAAAGTGTGTTCCTGGTTCTATATGCATTTGAGGTTGAAATACCGTACATTCGATTCTTACTGAACGTCCAAACAGTGCACTAAGAAACCGCCTGTTCTAAAGCATAGTTTTTCAAGTTAGGTATCTTTTTGTGCCCATGGCTTAGATGAGACATAATTAAACATTGTGAACGTCACTAAATTTTACTGTCAAAAAGTAAAGCTGGTTTTCTGGCACGTTTAACCGTGATTGGACGGTCGCTGAAACTAGTAATCAATTTATTTGATATTCTAGTGTCGCCAGATCGTCAGTGGCATTCCAACTTCCAGTCTCACACGTATTAAATAGAGCCTACTCTGAAAATGGTGTTGGTTAAAAATCGGTTGAAAAAAAACCAAACGTTGATCAGTGATTTAATCAATTATTGTTTATATAATTTTACCAATTTGATCAGTGATTTAATCAATTATTGTTTATATAATTTTACCAATTTGATCAGTGATTTAATCAATTATTGTTTATATAATTTTACCAATTTGATCAGTGATTTAATCAGTTATTGTTTATATAATTTTACCAATTTGATCAGTGATTTAATCAGTTATTGTTTATATAATTTTACCAATTTGATCAGTGATTTAATCAATTATTGTTTATATAATTCTACCAATTTGATCAGTGATTTAATCAATTATTGTTTATATAATTTTACCAATTTGTTTTCTTGATATTCGATTATCCGACAGCTAGGCATAGCTAAGTGTACAAACATATCTATAGTAAATTTTATCATTTTTACCTTCTATGTGAAAAAAAAAGCATACGGGTGTATATACGTTATAATCATAAGTTTAAGTATAGCCTTTATGTTGCTTGTATCTATAGAAAATGAATTTATAAATTCTGAAAATCAGCTGTATGAACAGCTTACATGTGACACGAAGACGATCTATGAATAATTTGATTTACGTTTATATGTAACAGGGCTTTTACTATTTATGTATGTAAGTGTGATTTTCTTCTATTTAGATATATAACTAATTATGTCTTTGCAGAGAGACTTACTGTTTTTCTATTGATTATTCCTTTTCTTCCAAACACTTTTCAACCGACCACCATTTCTTCATTTCTAGGCAGATTGACTTGAAACTTGGTGGGGGTTATACCTTCGTTCAGTACCCCCAGAAAACTTTTTCATATTTTTGATTTAGGCCTTGTTTAAGGAATTTATGAGGTCAAAGTTCAAACAACCCAAAAATGTATATTTTGGGCTCCTGTGCGGTCATATTTACAGGAATCAAGATGAAGATTGTCACAAGTATAAATGTTCATGCGTCCAACACATTGACATACAAGAAAGTTAGATTTATTAATTCTGAGTCTTTTTTACTGGGGTCAGAATTCACAAAAAAAGCATAATTTGGGGGTTTTTGGTCAATTATTCGGCCGTATTTTGACAAATTTACATGGGAGTTGGTACTAAGATCCTTTTCTATAGGTCCCACATTTGACGAACAAAAATGATGGACTTGCTCATTTTTAGTAATTATACGGGAGTCAAGATGGCACACACAAAAAAAAAGCATAATTTTAGGTTTTTTTATTATTACTCCGTCGCATTTCAGCCAATTTACATGGAATTTGGCATAAAGTGAATTTTATTTACAGGTCCTAGACAGAGACATAGACAAATTGGGAATTTTTGTCTTTTGCTCAATTTTTCAACAAGGAAAGCACAATTTGGAGTTTTCGTGAACTATTCACGTGTATGTCAACCAACTTACATGGGATTTGGAACAAAGATAACTTCTTGTAGGTCCCAAAAAGTTATATAGACAGTTTTTCAATTTGTCAAAATTGGCGGAAACATGTTGAATTCGCCAGTGAATGTTGGTCTCTTTAATTTTTTCTATTTCTATAAGTAAGTAGGATCGTTTTATATTTACGTATTTACATTTGTGATTTATTCATAACTGTGAGTGTTTTTACTAAGTTAATATTTAGATATATTTTTGTGTTTATATATTGCAGTATTCGCCTTGAATGTCTTTATGTGTAACCTAACGGTTTTTATTTGTTACGGTGTTGGTTTCGAGAACCTCTATGGTTTTTCTATGTTTATGTATTGCAATGATCTCCTAGAGCATCTATATATGTAACTGTAACGGTTTTTCTATGTTTATGTATTGCAATGATCTCCTAGAGCATCATTATATGTAACTGTAACGGTTTTTCTATGTTTATGTATTGCAATGATCTCCTAGAGCATCTATATATGTAACTGTAACGGTTTTTCTATGTTTATGTATTGCATTGATCTCCTAGAGCATCTATATATGAAACTGTAACGGTTTTTCTATGTTGAAACGTAAGAGTGATTTTTGAGGTATCTGTATAGAACTGTAACTTAGTTTTCTATGATTATATGTAGCAGTGGCTCTTTCTTTTGTGTTTATATGAAATCGTGTTTTTTATGTTTATATATAGTTGAAATATTTTTTATGCTTATATATAGTTGAAATTTCTTTTTATGCGTTTTTATGTATAACAATGATAGAATTTTCTATGCTATTATACAACTTTGACTTTCTCTTGTATATTTATAAAAAAATATGATTGTTTTTTATGTTTGTATTGTATTGTGATTGTTTTTACTGTATGGATAACTGTCATTGTTCTTCCGTGTTTATAATCATGATTACTATTCCACTAACATTATCATGCAAACTGTTGGAGCATAACTAATAATTGATTTTGTTTACAGAGGGTTAAACGTATTTAATAACACCTGTGTTTCAAGTCCCATGTAGCTCTTGGTACTACTTACTCCATCGTTTGATAGCAATGATTAAGCGCTTTTGCCCGACACCGTACTCTCCTTTGTAACAACTTAGACCACCCATATCTTGAGAAACTTTTCTTGGATCCCACCCCTCTCCAACCAATGTAAGTGAACTACAGTTTACGCAGATCAAGAACTCAGTGAAGTGACTTAACAGTCACGTGTTTGGGGAGAGGTTAGCGAAAACCTGGCTTCACACTCTAAGGCTCTTACTACTGTAGACTAGATGACGCTTAATCTTGACGTAGCCTACCTTCTTGATGTTCAGATCATACAGTTCACGAACCTCATCTTGATAATTCCTGTCAATAAGTACTAGGGTACACTTTTACTTTACTGTGCACTTTGTAACTTTTAAGTTTCTAATTATATGGAAAATCTGTGTCAACCATAAAACCCAACAACAACAAAAAACTTTCTTTACATCCTCTGTACCATAATGGAGAGCCCTTAATAAGTTCGTGACTAGTAACAAAGTTCCCGTTTCCTTTTGAAGTCACTTAAGGCTCCTCTCATTTCTTGTGTTAAGTGTAGTTTGTTCATTCGTGGTTTATGTTGCGTTACAAAGACAAGATATACATATATATATATCTGCGTGACCTTGAGCACAATTCATTTAGATATGTGCAGTTTCCTAGCACATTTCTGGGTGAGGATGGAGGAAGCTCCTGGACAATCACTTTCAAAACATTGGGAATGAGAGCAGAAGTTTTGTTGTCGTGGTATCTATTTAGGTGGTTTTACATCTTCATCATGTTATAGGTAGTAGACCTTGAAATTAGTGTATCCTTTTATATATTTTTACTTGTTGGATATAATAGACTCTTTAGTATAAGAGTTATTATCTAGTTTACTTTGTGACTTACTATTTAATCGATTGCTTATTTTTCATAACAAGAATGTTGAAGGTTGGTTGTTTTAAAAGCGATAGTTAGATAGTTACGAGAAGTTTCGTTAGGTAGCTCGGTATGAGTCGTGCATTGTGTATGCAGCTTAATTGTTGTACAAGGCTTTAGTAATATTGTTGACGTCATCTATCTCGAAGCCTCTATTTTTTTCTCACTATGTGAATGCTGTTGCTAATAGAGGGCTAGATATTTCTAGATTTTTTTGTCTCGTGTTATAAATGCGTGCAGATACAGAGAAGTAAAATCAGAAAATGTTAAGCTTGTGAAAGTGAAGTTTAGCCATAATGGGCAATAGTTAAAATGAGTTTCACAGCAGGGAAGTTCTAAAGTAACTGAACCCGCCTGTGTGAACTTTGACGAAAATGAGACAATTATTTAAAGTTATGGATACAACTGTGGTAACCCATGGGGTAACGTAAGTGAATATATCGCAGATTTTGTAGTAAAAACAAAGTAGAGAAAAATAATTCGTCTTGTCAGTTGAGTTCTAAAGTAACTGAACTACCCTGTGTGGACTTTTGACAAAAAAAGATAATTATTTAAAGCTTAGATTCAACTTTGATAACCAATAGTGAAACGAATTTTTGTACATACGTTTGACTTATGTTTGAATATATTATTTTCAAACAAGTGGGTTGTGTTCTGTCCATTTATTTTTGACATTTATCGCCAACAAGTCACAGACACCTACTGTAAAGATCCGACTCCTTATACAAAAAATCCTGGCATTAGTGTATTCCTTTATGGTGAGAAATTCACTATAAATCAAATACTTGTCATCCGTGGTGCCAGTGCTCACATCGGTGGCAACACGCCCTCCATTAGCACATGCAACTTGTTTTTTTTTAAGGTGGGATTAACACTCCATAGCTTGGAATACGTACAGCGCTAGAAATGGAGACAGATCTATATATTCATTTTTCTATCTCTGGTTATAAGCACATAAAATAATTTTTAAAGAACAAAAATACAATACTCACTGTGCTTTGGGAGAGAGAAATCTCTCTCTCTCTTTCTATATATATATATGAAAAACACTTTAAAGAAATAAGGTGTATATTTTGGGAAATAATTTAGTGGCACGAAGTTTAACAGAACATGTGTAAATAACCTTAGTTGAAGCTCGTGAAACGTAATTATTCTTCAGT